GGTTGTTTCTCGCAATAATCCTTATTTTGTAGACTTTTTTTTAAAAAAAAAAAAGGCTTTAATGTTTTTAAACGTTGTGCTAATAAAAGTTGTTTATATTGCAATTATGTTATTTTGGTAGGCTCTTTTTCTAAAACTTAAAATGTTTTCGAGACATTACATGTTTTTTGCAGCTCATGTTGTAATTATGATTACTGTCATGGCTGAGGACAATTTTCGGGTCCTACGCTCGGATAATTTTGTTTAAAGTTTTCTCGCGGTTTTTTCAACGGGAGTCATTGAATCAGATCTGCCGGCGGCGAGGCATCAGTATCGCTACTCGGCCAGTTGAGCAACCGCCCTTGGGAAGACTCACCCCCTTCTTGGGTGCCAGTGGGTTAGGAAGCAGCCGGATTGATCAGTTCCAGAGAACGTCCAGTCGACCTCGCCGACCTGACCTTCTAGCTCCTAGAATTTCTAGCTCAGTATCGCAGTATCAGTATCGCTTCAGTATCGGAAAACCTACGCCTGCAAGAGAACCAAAAAATCCCAAAATTTCTTGGTTCAGCTTGAAACAGCACTAAAACAACTCAAGAAAAACAGTTCGCCAGGGCCTGATGGCATTTCAAATGCATATCTTGCGAAACTACCTAAACCAGCAAAGGAGCACATGCTAAACATCTTTAATGCCATTACAGCCACAGGACACTTTCCATCAGGATGGAAGCCATAGCGCTGTCGCGCTCGTACATCACAATTAAAGACCTCAAAAAATGCCCACGAAGGTCCTGCCCCAAGAGGGGGAGGAGGAACACATCAAATTAAGACCCAGGGAAAAGATGCACCACGGTGCCGCACCCAAGAAGGTGCTCCACTGGGCACCCCGCAGACCCACATCCTTCCCCGTCGAAGCCATAGCGCTTATTGCGCGAGCTAATCAATCCATCAAAGACCTCAAAAAATGCCCACGAAGGCCCTCCCCCAAGAAGAGGAGGAGGCAAAGTAAAGTAAAGACCGAGGAAAAAGATACACCAAGGTGTCACACCCAAGAAGGTGATCCCTCTGGCAAGGAATCCACTTCTCTCTCTACCAACGGGATCCGGACAAGTGACCACAGAAAAACTGCCCCGAACCCAAATTGACCCCAGAATAACATTGACCACAAATACAGGCTGACCACATTTTACAATGACACCTGTTTCCGAAATTTTTCACAATTGCTGCCCTGGCAACAATAAGCACGCGTATACTAACCCACGCCGCCACCCGCCACCCACCCACGCCGCCCACGCCACCATGGGTGAGGTGCGGTTTACCAAATCGCAGCGGGGGAAGGACAAGCTGGTCCTTCACGGCTACATGTACGTGCATCACCGGGACCTGAAGTCAGGAGAAAGCGAGTGGCGCTGTGACAAGCGTCGCTCGGACAGTTGCAACGCCACCGTCACACTGGCAGAGGACCGACAGACCGTGGTGAAGGAGCGGGAGCACCCGAACCACCAGGCCGACTGGGGGCGCGTGAAGGCGAAGGAGACCGTCGAGCAGATGCGGGATGACGCCCAAGGTAAGTTACTTTTTCTCTGCCGTGGGGTCGGTGACAGTGTGAACGATTCGTTCACGCTGCGCTCTGTGCAGGCTCTCGGGAGACCACCGCGTCCATCGTGCAGCGTCACGTCGCCAGCACTTCCCGGGAGGCCGCTGTCAAGCTGCCCAACAAGGCGTCGCTCGCCCGTGCCGTCCGTCGAGTCAAGCGGTCATCGCTGCCCGAGGACCCCAAAGACATCGAGGACCTGGTCGTCATCGCTGAGCAGTACCAGAAGCTGGACGGGCAGCGGTGGCTGCTCTTCTTCGATCCAGACGCTGAGGACAAGATGATCGTGCTGGCCACCAACAGGCACCTACGCTACTTAGCTAAGGCGACGTACTGGATTATGGACGGTACGTTTAAGTCTGCACCAGGTGTGTTCTACCAACTTTACACACTGCATGGCCAAGTACACGGCCAGTGGTTTCCCCTTGTGATGGTGCTGATGGTCAAGAAGAGCAAAGACATGTACATCGAGCTCTTCGAGCTACTGAAGCATGAAGTGAGCACGCGCCTCCACAAAAGGCTCGACCCAGAATATGTGTCGACCGACTACGAAGAGGGTGCCATCAGGGCGATCCAGCATGTGTTCCCAGATGCGCAGATTGCAGGCTGCCTATTCCACCTCGGGCAGTCGTTTTGGAGGAAGCTCCAGAACGCAGGACTGGCGGTGGAGTACCGTGAGGAGAACAACGAGGACATGAGGACCAGCTTCCACTCCCTGATTGCTGTGGCCTTCTGCCATCTGGACGACGTGAAGGCCGTCTTCGACGAGCTGCGGAGGGAGGCACCGGCTGCCTTGCGCCCAGTGTTCAAGCACGTTGACGAGGTGTACATCAGAGGCTGCCGGAGGGGCCGAGGACGCCGGACTCCAGTCTTCCCACCAGAGTGGTGGAACTGCCACGCAAGGGCTCTTGGTGACCTTCCGAGGACCACCAACAGCGTGGAGGCGTGGCACAGGCGGCTCAACACCATCATGGGCAAGTCGCACCCCACCCTGTACTTTGCCCTCGACCAGCTCCAGATGGAGGCGAAGGAGATGGAGCGGGACATAGAGCGGCTGTCCAGCGGGCGTTCGCCGGAAAAGAAGAAGAAGAACCAGTACGTCATCATTGACCAGCGCATCTCCCGCATCATGGAGCGCTACCAGGACTACAAGGAAGAAGACAACATGCTGGAATTCTTGCGTGCGATTGGCCACAACATTGCTGGAAACTTGTAATGTGTCATATGTAACAACTTGTGTTTTGTTCTTTGTGAACCGTGAACTGTTAACTGTGAATTGAAAAAAAAAAGTAATGAAAATATAAGGAAACTTTTTTGAAATTTGTGGCAAGTTTTTTAGGGGTCAGATTGGGGTCATTATGGGTTGGGGTCACTATGAAAGGTGGTCACCTGTCAGTGGTAACAGTATAGCGTGGTCAGTCAGACTGTGGTCAGTTGTCCTAGACCCCTACCAACATCCCCACTAAAACACCACAGTGGAATGCAGGTTTTTTAGGGTGGTGAAAATCCCCCACTGCCCTACCCCACCAAAAATCAGAGGTGGGCGGGCGCCTATATAGGTCTCCAGGCTGGAGATGGGTGCCGAACACCCCGGTGATTAAGCCGCTATGAGGATTTTTCCTGCGTGCCCTTAGTACCAAATATGTCACGAAGACCAATCAAAGCGTAAGCCAACGTGCTCTTCACGCTACATCAATGACAAGTTCATTCAGAAGTTCAGAGCTCTAAAGTCTAGAGGCCGTGAGGTCCCCGGACAGAGCAGGTACTAAGGGAAAAAAAACAAAAAAAACAAAAAAAAAAAAAAGCTTCCCGACCTTTTGGTTGGGATCAAGGCGCCTAAACCCGCTACTTTGAATTAGTTTTTCG